AAAATAAATCACCCCCACTCTTCAAGAGAAAAACGGTTGTCCACTACCCCACTCTCTGCAAGTTTCGAAAAACACCTCCTACCCTGTCAAAATCCTGATTTACCACTCTTTTAAAACCCAAAGAAATGAAACCCAAATCCAAACAACTTACCAGTGAATCCACTAACATATACCCCTTCCATTTCCAGCAAAGAATCAAGTACTCTTATAACATACACCTTCATCCATGGCTAGAGTCAAACAAACTGCCAAGAAAAGAGCATATTGGATTCAAGGGATCGTCTCTCTCCCGCCACATCTTCCAAAAAATCCAACTAGAGCCCAAAGGAAAGAGCATCAAAATCGCCTCAGAGGTATCAGAAATTCCGGTCTCATCACAACCCTGGAGGGGCAGCATTCTATCAAGGAACATGGGAAAGGAAGGCTATTGTGGAGAGGGAAGTTGACATTTCAACAGACCCACATTCATACATAATGGAATGTGGCTGGCAAGGATTCTACATCTTCACAGTCCAAGCAAAACTCACAGCTATCAAAGAATTCTAAAGCAATCTATGGAGAGCGGATGAAGATGAAATCGTAGTAAGAGGCAAGGCAGTCGAAATCAGCAGAGCGGCCATTCGAGAAATACTTGAATTACCGGCCAACATCCCTCCGTACGAAGATACGGCCTTTGACATGATGGATGAAACACCTGAAGGAGAACTGCCAATAGCACTTTGTGACGATGCAGCAGAGGATATATGGACCGTTGACAGTCATGGGTTTCTGAAAAATTTTCCAACCGCAGAATTGAAGCAAGTTTACAAACCTTGGTTCAACTTCATTTGAACAAATTTGATGCCCTCTAATAATCGAGGAGTGGTGACATTCAATGCAGCTATATTGTTGTATGTCATAGCCATGAATATTCCTATATATGCTGTAGACATAATCAGAAGACAAATGCATTGATGCCTGAACCTGAGACAGAAATACTGGTTCTTCCCAATATTAGCAACAAGGTTAATGATGAGATTCGGTGTTCACTTTCTGCTAAGAGATGAGAGAGGAGAGATTCCAACTCCCTGGAGTCCGCAAGGTCCACCAGACGCATACATGAACCTATAATCACCCAGGGGAGTACTATGTTTTCTTTTTCTTTTTCTTTTCTTTTATCTTTTGTTTCTTTCAATTAGGTCTATTTTTGTGTTTTTTGTTTTGAGTCTATACATCTAGAGTTCTTAGGCTAGATTGAGTCCACTTTGTATGATGATTTTTTTGATTACAGTTAAAATTGCATACTAAGTGTTTGTGTTTGTTCTTCCCCTGCATCTCCGTTGTAAGCATGGGGGACAATGCTTATTTTAAGTTTGGGGGAGGGATTTGTATGATTTATATGTTTTTAAAGAATGACATGATCAAATTTTGAAAAATAACAAAAAAAAATCTTTAAGTTTGTGTGCAACTGTGAGCAAGTATATACAGTGTCAAAAGTCTATGATGATTCAAAAATGTGCGGAAAATTAAAATTTTGAACACTTGTTGATTCACTTGAAGTCAGTTCTATAGTTCTTCACTTTCTCGAGCACAATATGTCACTTGCCAAAGTGAGAGTTTTGAACTTAATGATAAAACCTGAATGCCTTATTTACATTGTTGTGATCTTATACTGGAGTCCACTTGTCTGAAACCTGGGAGGACTGTAAATCTGAGTGAAGACTAAGGTAGCCCTTCACATCATGGCAGACTCTGTAAGAGCCCATGGTGGTCTGTAAAAGCCTAAAAACCTTAGGAAAGGGGAATGGTAGGCGGGTGAAATGAGCTGAAAAGAAAATTTCTGAAATGAGGGAAGTTAGGAAGATTATCCAATGAGGAAGTCATACCCCTGAGTGTTTAGGTTTGGCAAATAAATAGAGAGAATCCTCAGGCCTGGTGAGAAAATATGAGAAAAATGAATAAATTACCCTAAGTTGCTGAGCCACTGTGAGAAATTACTATAAATACCAAGTGAAAATATGCTTTGGGCGAAATGCCCTAAGTTGCTGAGTCACTATGAATAACTACTAAGCGGAAATATGCTATAGGTAGGGACCTGAATGGGAAAGATCCAGAAGAAAAGCCATATGGACAAGGAGAAAAAGGGTTGAGGGAGAAATAAGATCCAATCAATGATGCTGCAGAATCTGTGAGGAAGTCCTTATAATCTAAAAATCTCAGTGAGAATACCCTAGTTGGTGGCATGTAGGAAATAGGTATTGATCACAATAATGTCCATTTGTTCTTAAACTAGTTAATGCTTAGAATAGATCACAGGTAAAAACTTGAATTTTAGCTATGACATATGCACACACACACTGAAGAACTGTGACGCTGCCTTTCTGTGATTAAACATTGGTGTATAATCTGTCCAAGGGACTTGAATCTGAGACTAACATTGATACAAATGTTGCATTCACTTTTGTCATTTAACCATATTCTTTTTCGATCATTGTCATTACTCTTATACATGAAAATTCAAAAAAAAAAAATATCACTTCTTCTTTCTGTGTCAGTCCTTCTGTGTCTAGGTCAGTGGGAATGTAACATGAATTTGTTTGTTAGAGGATCAGCAAATCTCTGAGTTCAGGTCTGTTGCTTGAGGAAGCAACACTTCAAATTTGGGGGTATCTGATAACATAAAAATAAATACCCTTTTAGTAGGCATTTCTTATTCATTTCTACTTATAATTTAGTGTCAATTAGTTAGGATTAGTTTACTTTTGGGGTGATTTTATAGTTCCGATATCTCAGAGGGCCAATGTGAAAAATTAACATAAAAGAGGACTAAATTACACAAAAAGGCATCAGAATGGACTTGAATGGAAGATGCTGGAAATTGAGCTGCTGGAAGGTCGATCAGAGCTGAAGCAAGTGAAGAAATCCTTGCTGTGGAAGGAAGATTGGCATCCGATCGACTCAAGTGGAAGAATCTGCAGCAACTACCTCAATAGAGGAAGAAGAAATGGCAGCTGCTCTGCTGCCGAGTTGCTACTGCAGAGGCTGTTGCTGCTGTCAATCAGGAAGAACCAAGACTGAATTCTTGCTGCCAAAGGAAAGAATTGCTTCACCATCACTGCAAGTTATAGCTGTTGTAAATTGAAGAAGAGAAAAAGGGAGAATATGTGGAAAACAGTAGCTACAAACCTGTTACTTACCTGGTGTGACTGTTACAGCTGAATTGATGGATTGGCTGTTGCAGTCAGGTGAGAAATGGTGTTGCAAGTGATCACAGGAAACAAAGAAGGAAAAGGCAGACAGATTTGGGCTGAATTGGGGGCTGAAACACAATGATGGAAGGAAGCATGTTGCTGATGCTGCTACTTGGTACTGCTGCTAGTTGAGCTACTGCAGATTAAAGAATGAAGAAATCGAGATTTGTGGCTGAAAATTGGAGAAACTGCGCCAGAGAAGAAGACTAAAAGAAGAGGCAATGATGAGAGGAAGGCGACCGATTGCGGCTGAAGAGAAGGAGCAGCGAAAGAGAAGACAGCAACTTGCCTAGTTGGCAAGTTGCTGAATAAACAAATCTCTAATGCTGAAAGTTACTGTCTCACCTTTCTGCTGCAAAGAAGAAGTCCAGAAACCAACCAATCCCAGATCTCTAAATCTCTATAAATAGTCAGCCAATAGCATTTAGAAAAACAACAGATGGGATAGTTAGATTTAGTCACAAAGACAGTAATTAGGTAGTTAGTTAGTAGGTTAGAAACAAGGTAATAGTAGGAACAAGGAGGTAGACTGTCTTAGTCAAGTGGCGAACGCCACTCTCTATCTGCTACCATCTTCCCTTTCTTTCCTCTAACCTTTTGATTTAGACTTACGTCTTATCTTTTGTACTATATTGCTCTCATGTTTAACTCAATAAACATTAGTAGTTAACTCAGTTAAAGGTTCAATCCCTACTATCTTTATGTGAATGTTTTGATTCAGTTTCCTTGATGAGGAGTTGTGCCTAGATGAGTGATTTAATTAACTTTTTAATTAAATTGGTCACTCAATTAAATGTGTTTGCATGGTTATGAAGATCTGGAAGGGGAAGCATAGTCTTAGAACTGCTTAATCTAGTCTATGACAATGGAGAAAACCAACCATGCGGTTCCAAACTTCAACGGAAGTTAGGTGAATGGAATAGGCGATCAAAGAGGGCTTAAGAACTCAATGGCTTAGATTAATGAATTACTCTGACTGTAAGATAGGTGATTTAGATGATCTAGGACTCTTTATTCTGTCTGGAAGGAATTATAAAGAATATAAGTGTCTGATCGAACAACTTATCATACACTACAAGAACATTTGAATGAAAACTGGATCATAAAGGTAGGAACATAAAGGTAGGAAGGTGATTGACCCTTCTACCTCTTCACTTTGTCAAGCGACTATTTTCACTCTCCCAAGTGATAATCTGTTCAACTTATTTTCTTTCCTCTCTGCACTTTAATCAGATTTTGAGCGGTTGACTGCCGTCTCTATGGAACGATCCTGCTTACCAGTAACTATTAGTTTTAAGTAGGTTTATAAATATTTCTTTTGGAAGTGGTTCAACGACAAACGAGTCACCAGTGACAGAATGTAATAATGAATTTTTGGTTGTAAATATGAACTATTTGCGAAGTCATCAATATATTTACAGATTATCAAAAAAAAATTTAAAAGTAAGAATTTAATCGTAGTAAAAGTCAATTTCCTAAAATTTGAGTTCAAAAGTTGCCAAATAAATAAGTGAAGTGTCTTTTACAAGTGTAAATAACTGAAATGGGATGCGGGCAACTAGAATGTAGTATGTAATATGTAATTCAAACATGAATCATTTTCAAAAGTTGCCTCTTGATTAGAAGGACTAGAATATTTAAATAGAAGGGATTGAAAAGATTATTAACACTATGTGAAGGAGCAAAGATCAAATTGTCCACGTCATCCACTCGTGTGAAAAATCTTACGTGTCACTGTAATCCTAATAATATAGTTCAGTCTTCAGTCAACTTCATCACTCCTTTTCGTTTTCTTTCATTTTTGTTTTTATACATAAAAATATTTCTCTATCGGTTTAGTGAGAACATCAGCATATGCGTTCAGAGTGATTCATATTTCATAGGTTCTAACGAATCCATTTCTTGTGTTTACATCGCTTAATCATTTTTAGACTAGGACAATTGGAATCCTATCTGGGTTTTTTTTGTTAGCATGGCTTTCTGCTTATCAGAATCAAGAAGTGCGATTAATCACCTGAAATCAAGAACGTCTTGTTTCAGATACTGGAGTTCTTCGAATTCTCCATTGTCTCACAGAAATCATCATGCATTTCAAACGGCTAAATTTAGTAACCCGAATGATTCAATACCATCTAAAAGACCATCCCTCTTTTCCTTTTGGCGTTCTGAATCAGTAAAAACTGGAAAATTATCGGATTCCATGCTTTGTGATGATGGCACAACTGATCAGGTATTTCCGGGCTGATTCTTGGTTATGAATATTTTGAGACTTTAATCAACTCCGTTTATCTCTTTTAGTTATATGGAAAATGTAGTGATTTCTTCTTCTCTATGTTCTGGAGTCTTTTAATTCTGTATCTTGCCTCATACTTTTATGATGGATTGGGTCATTTTCGGCCCGTTATTTAATTAAATTTTCATTCAGCTGGCTTACAGGTTGACATTGACTTTGAATCTTTCTGTTAGAAGACCATAGCTTCTGTTGATTATGTAACTTTGTTTCTCAAAATATTGACTTACCTCATAGCTTGCTGATAAATTCACTAACTATGCAGTGAGCTTCTTTTTTTTTTTCCCTTTTTCTTTACCTGTGAATATCATGTGTATATATTAGGAACTAAGCAAATTGGTTTTCTTAGGTCCTGAAATTTCCTGGAGGAAAGGTTAAATTCACCTCAAAATTAGATTTCTTTCCTGAATCTTATGAGGAGAGAATTCACTGCTATCGGGTTCTTGGTGAAAATGGTCAACTTTTGTCTACAGACTTTCCAAAGGTATTTACTGGAATGATTAATCCATTCTTAGCTTGATACCTGTGAATATCATGCTGTCCATAGATTTCCATTCTTGACCCTCTTTTAACCGTACATGATTTTCAGGTTACTAAAGAATTTGCGGTGAGAATGTATTCTCACATGGTCACCCTTCAGGTTATGGATAATATCTTTTACGAAGCTCAGAGACAAGGAAGAATATCATTTTATGTGACTACAATAGGTGAAGAGGCCATTAATATTGCATCTGCTGCAGCACTTCATATGGATGATCCTGTCTTTCCTCAGGTTAATAATTATCAGAATTATTAAGCTTATCATTTCATATGTTAGCTATGTCAAAATATGAGGAAATAAATTATAGGCATGGAATTTGATTTTTGGCCATGTCTCAGCCCACTGCATGGTACTGTAATGACAGAAACAGGGAGCATAAGTTTGCTTAATGAAGACTGGTTAATACGCTTATTCTTGACAGTAAGGCACTCTTGGAATTTCATCCCACCATCAGGATTTTTTATCAGTCCCATTGTCTCTGTGCTATTACCTTTTACAACATTGGATTAACTAATTAGTTGACAGGTTATTCGACTCTCAAGCACTCGCATAGTTTTTCAATGCCTTGCAGTGTTGTCATAGTTTTGATGTTTTATAGCAATTTGATCTCTGACCAGTGCTTTTCCACTTCATATTGATACATGGTGACTCTCCTCGTTCTCTCAATTTTAATCACATGGCTGACTAACACCCATTGCCGGTTATGCATATCTCTATGTTACTTTGAGTACCTCCATTTCGCTTATCTTGCTTAGTCAAGTTGTCTACAATGGCGTACTTTGATCCTAAGTCCTTAGCATTCTTTGAATTTTGTTTTCCATTTTGTTGTGAACTAAAGATGTAAATCTGAAACATTGAATGCACATCCAGCATGAGCCAGACTCATTTGCAGGTAGCCATGTAGGATGTTATACTCATATGGTTTCTAGTCCAACTGAAAAGCCCTTGTTTGATATGAATGCTATGTTTGATTCACAGCTTCAACACTCCATATATCAACAGGATTACTACTAAAAATTGCTACTGTCATTGCAGTACAGGGAGCCCGGAGTTCTGCTATGGAGGGGCTTCACCTTGCAAGAGTTTGCTAACCAGTGCTTCGGTAACAAGAATGATGGTGGAAAAGGCAGGCAAATGCCTGCGCACTATGGTTCTCACAAGCACAACTATTTCACAGTTGCATCAACAGTTGCGTAAGATATTTGGTCTTTCTGAATTTGTATGGATGCATATGCACCAACATTAATATATGGAATTACTTATAGAAGTATCTAGATGTTTCTAGGCTTTCTAAGTCCATAATTATTAAGAGATTTTACTTGAATCAGCTCCCAAATTCCCCATGCTGTTGGTGCTGCGTATTCTCTGAAGATGGATAATGTAAATGCATGTGCCATAACTTATTTCGGAGATGGTGGCTCTAGCACGGTATAAAATCTACCAACTTCGATGTTCTTCCTTTGTTTTGGTTTACCCATGGAGCTTTGTTTACGATATATACTCTTCCTTTTATCTGTTGTCACTCTATGTTGATGTCAATGCCCACTTTTTTACTTGCATGACTAATGATGTGAGAGGAGTCTGCTAGTCTTGTGAGGATTTTCTTCTGTTTCTTCATTACCAAAAGATCTTTGTTTTTATCCTTCCATGAAGTTATATTATTTGTTGTTTTCTTATATTACTTTGTTTTTGCTGTTCATCCATTATTTGTCGTTCTTTCAGTTCAGTGACGATTTGAGAGTTCTTTTTTTCCTTCTACTTGTGGTTAGTACATTCCATACTGCTTCCACGGGAATATTCATATTTTCGAGTGGTCAACCTTTTTTCTATTCACTATTACCATAGTCATTGTTCCCTGTGCACCTATAATATCTTTTAAATCTGAGGTCTTTGGTGATTTTATCATGAGTTTTGGCGGGGTACGATCTGTTCTTTTTGGGTAGGCTGATGTTTGATTCTATTATCTCCTTCGTGAATGTACTTTCAGATATAGACTGGGATGCAAAAGCAAATTTATTGTATTACAGTTCAATCACATCTCATTCCAAGCTTAACGATTTTAAGTAAAATTAGGGAGATTTCCATGCTGCTATAAACTTTGCAGCTGTTACGGAGGTGCCAGTGATTCTTTTTTGTCGCAATAATGGATGGGCCATCAGCACCCCTGTCAGAGATCAGTACCGGAGTATGTTTGTTTTGCTCTTTTCTACTGTATTCATCTACAACTGTCACTGGATCTAACGAGCTTTTCAAAAACTGAAAGGTGACGGTATTGTTGCCCGAGGACAAGCCTATGGAGTCCAAAGCATCCGCACTGATGGTAATGATGCGCTTGCTATATACAATGTTGTCCGCTCAGCCCGTCAAATAGCCATTTCTGAACAAAGACCTATTTTGATTGAGGTGATGCACTAATTCCTTAATTTTCTCACTGTATATAGTTTGGAATGGAGTATTATCTGCTTTATATGTCAAACAGGCTCTCACTTACAGAGCAGGTCATCACACCACATCAGATGACTCAACCAGATACCGTCCAGCTGAGGAAATAGAATGGTGGAGAGTGACCCAAAATCCTGTTACTAGATTTAGAAAATGGCTCGAAACAGAAGGTTGGTGGGGTGCTCGTGAAGATGCAGAACTAAGAAGCAGCCTCAGGAAGGAGGTACAGTGTTTTGAAAAATAATTTTCAGAGGGGCTGGCTTCTTCTGTTTTGAATTTAAATTCCTCCTGGGCTTGATTGTTTTTTTCTATTACACATTTTCTCATTCATTACTCTAGAAGTGCATTTGTAAAAATATGGTTGGTCTTTAGAACAGGTAATTGACGTAATTTGGCCATTTATCTCTGTTTGGTAAGGCTGATTATTATTAAAATGAAGTGGAAGGCCGGTAGCAGTTTTATACTCCGATGGGGGAACCCTATGAGATTCCCAATTTCTGACCTGCTAACCACATCTCAGAAATGAAACCACGAAGTTTATTTAAAACTAGGGTTTTATGCATTTTAGGTTGCGTACAAAATGAAGTCACTGAACAGAATTGGTGCACATAACTTGAGATGGAGGATCCAACCTCGTCAGTTCTTTGATTGATGCATGACAGAACTCTTAGAAAGGATAACTCAAGAAGAAACCTTTTGCTTTGACAAAACATATAGTTTCAGCAAAAATCATCTTCAAAAAGTATGTGTGCAGTTATTTGTAAACATGTTTTATGTAGCTTCAAATTATAATCACATAGTTTTGCCTCCATTGTCTCAATATTTCCATGCAAGTCATCTCGTCTCAATATTTCCATGCAAGTCATCTAGTGGTTTGGAAAAGCATGATCATATGATTCATGTTGTCTATGCAAATTGTGATCATGGCTTTCAAGTTCTCATCATCGAGCTTGGTGTTTTTTAGGTATTGCAAGCCATTCAAGTTGCAGAGAAGGATGAGAAGCCTCCAATTGCTGATATATTTACAGATGTATATGATGCTCTTCCGCCTAACCTCTGTGAGCAGGAGACAATTTTGAGGCAGGTTATTGCAAGACACCCTGACGACTACCCGCCTAACTTCTCAAATTAGGAACACTTGACATATTGTCTTGTAAATGAATCTTAGCGTGATTTATGGTAAACCCATAATTATTGACAATCAAATCAAATGTGGACAAACTGGGGCACAATATTGGCCAAGAGAGTTCAAATCTTAAAGTAAAGATTCAATACAAACTTTGCTGCATCTAAATGTCATTTGTCAAATCATAAACGAAAAAGAAAATTGGCAAACACTAACCTTAAAAAGAGAAGCTTTGTTGTCACTTTACAAAAGATTATGTTATACTAATGGATTAGCATATCCAAACACCCAAGTCAAAGAAGTTGTCTCATTAACAACCATTACACATCAACTAAAGCAAAAACGTTGATTAGCTCAGGTTCATGGTTTCAAATCTGGACTAGCTGGATATGGCCAGTATTTTACACACAGCTTGCAACAGTCTCCCTCTAAAGGATTTCTGTAAGCTACTGCAGAGCAGTGCGAGTACCAGGCACATGTGAGCCCTGCTTGTTACTAAAAGTTCCACCTTTCAAGTTGACGCTTTGCTTCAGCCATATCTTTCTGGGCTTTTTTCCTCCGGTAAAAAATTGGACAATCACGACTAGCATAGAAACAAACATTCAATGCAAATAAGAAAACCAAATCGCATGCGGGAGGGTTAAGGAAAAAAGGACAATAGAATCCCAGATCATTCAATGACATGTTATGCTCTGAAAAAGCAGAATCTTATAGTGGTGAAAAGGTGAAAAACGGTTGACAGTTTATAATGCTCATCGCTAAGACAAACGATCCATGAGAAGCACTACGAAAACATGAAGCCGCAGTGAAAAATCATAAGGGTAAAATACTTTAGAGGCCACAAATGATCAATGCGACGTGTTATGAAAACATGAAAACCTTAAGAGGCAGTCAAACATCTAAATGGAAAACTATTTTGACGACCACTAAAAGTTGCCCAATAATTTACTTATATAGGCAGTTACTACTTTCTCTAGCATGTTTTAAATTCGTGGGTGATTCGATGCAAATAAAACGAAGTGGTAAAAGTGATCTTTACAGAAAATTGGATATGTTAAAGCCCTGTATTATTTATCAAGATGTAAAGCTAAATGCAGAAAGAAATAATATGAGCCAAAAGTTTGAGATCATAAGAAAACCTGGTGCACAGCACATCCTGGTGGAGCGAGCCCTGACACTCTTGGCACTGGGTCCATAGCCTCCCAAACATTTCCTCTAACTCGGATACTGTATCAAAATTGAGATTACTCAATACTTGACAAGGATTAATTATTTCCTCAAGTGAACAATGATTCTAAATAAAACATTTAAATGAGTAACAAGATTTGAAAAGAGGATTGATATTGTTTATAAAAAACAAAATCAAAACTACTTTCAATAGTATTTTTTGTGTTAGTTGTCTCATGCTTACTAATGAGACCGCAACAAATGTCTTGCCGAATTTAGCTATTGAATAATTACTTCGTAAGGTTCTACAGAAAGTAACTATAATATTAATACGAGTCATTTGAAAAGTTCAATACAAAGAAGTTAGTTTGCCATACCATTAGCGACTGATTTGCAATACAGTTCAGCTTCTCTTCCCTTGCAGTGGGAGCAAAGTGTATGATCCGAGTTACTGTACAAACAATGACATTTAAAATTAGTTCCATAATTTTGCTTATATCAAAAAGATATCGTCTGCAACAATATGATATAGTCAGAATGGCTATTATGTCACAGTGTCTACTAATAACCTGTCTTCTGGCATCAACTGAGTAATAATTAAGATAGATTCTTAGTTTAAACATAAACATCAGCAAAGTAAACTCAAAAAATTCTAAGAACTTTGTGTAAGGATTTTACTCAGAGAGGTGAGAGCTCCTTGTTGAGGCATATCATCAACCACAATAAGTAGTTCTTTTAACCTTGAGAATTAGTCCATTAGCAACAAGATAGTTTTTACTGCAGGAAACATATATACTCACCCTCATGGTGATTTCTATTCAGCCTCCTTAGCAAAAAGGATACAGTAATTGATTCAGGTTGTAACATTAATTAGGTAAAAGAAAGAAAAAATAGAACAGTAGACGATTTAGTTGCACCTGATCAAAGTTTTGCACCCAATGCAGGTTAGTTGCTTCTTTGTAAATTTCGCCATAGCACTATTTAATGGAGTAGAGATGGAAATTGCCCGTGTATGACTTCCTTGAAACAGCTCCTTATTAGCATTTTTCAGTATTGGATCAAATAACCTAAGTAAAGGCTACAGATGAAATGTTGTTTAGAAACTAAGCAGAAACCAGGGACTGTACTAAATCTATAGAAAACGCCACACTTCACACTAACCTTTTTTATTTGATTCTCAAGATAGTACTGAGTGTCTATGGGAATATTGTGCTCTAGTACATATATAGGGTCTTCAGACTTTTCATAAGCCTGTAAATGCACGGTTGATCTTGATTAAAAGACAATAAGAGGAGATATAATATTATTCTTGAACCAGAAAACTATTAAGAAGGATCACCTTGGCACCCTTTGCAGCAACAACAATGACATATGGTACCCGATCACCAACATTTGGTGCGGTAGCCGCATCTCTCTGTCAATGATACAAATGTAAATCCTTAACATACGTTTGAAATTATTTAGCCAGTCATGATAAGCAATGAAGGAGCAGAAATATAGAGAAGGTAACATAGAGTATGAAACCACATTACTCATGATCTCATGATCATGACATCTCAACCATTAATTAGTCTCTTCCTGCTTAGCTCATCCTATCAGGGCATACTGAGGTTAAATATCAGACTAAGGCATCAAGAGATTCACAGGGGCAAAATCTGCCTTATCTTAACTCCTCATGTACAAATGTTCGGGCACGTATGGACCAAAAAGACATCCTCAACACATCCTAAATTAAGAAATATAAAGGTTGCATTTCACTGGGACCATATAGCAAGATTAACCCTTGATAACCAGGAAAATACAACTAAGCAAACAAAGGGTAGATAGGAAAAAAAAAAAAAAAATCAAAAGACAGATCATTCCAAAAAACGCAGAAGCTAAACATCAGAGGGTACTCATCTGATGCTTGTCGCATGAATAATTATCACATCAAAGCTAAAGAGGTCAGAGAATATGCTGTGATATCATCTATGATGACATAATGAGAATAGGCCACATTCATCCATGTTGCGCAGCAGGAGCAAAGATAAACGGATTATTCATTAAGGTATATGAGTAGCAGAACCTAATAAAAATATATTATTTGTGAAGGTATACGAGAAAAGAAAGACATAAAAGAAGTAGGGAACTCATTTTCTACATTAAAAAAAAAAGGTTTTCTTGCTTGTTTAAGGAGAAGTTTAGTGAAGAAGAAATAGGATGAGATAACAAAATTGAAAGGAAATATCAACAGAATTCAACAAGATATGAATGAGCAAATGATAAACCATCAGTAATCTCTTAAGAAGTTCACAACTACTCAAAACAACTTCATTTTTCAATCAGCACTATAGACAGTTTATACAAGTTGACCACCCAAACATTTTAAAACTTGACAATATTTCTATCATCTCCTAAGCCACCCCCCTCTCTTTCTTTTGTTTCTTCACATTACCATTTGACAGCAATGATTGCATGATTGCAATGAAGCATACTAACCTTACGCATCCGTTCGGCAAGTTCTACATGCGCTGCCTTCACTTCATAGTCATCTCCAGTTTTGGTGAGACCCTATCCAATATGGCAGAGGAGAGCATATTAAACATCAATTTTGTTATGATGTCAATCAAATAAATAAACCATCAGAAGCTAAGTTAATAAGCTGACAAGACCCCTAATTTCATTTTACCTTAGTGATAACCAGAAGAGACAAATCCATGCGGTTCATAAGAAGATCAGAAATTGTATTCTTGACATATTGTACTGCACCATCAATGTCCCTATCGATTAGTATTTTGTGAAGACAATCGGTAACTAGGTTTTTGACCAACAGACAATTATCTCTTCGCACCGTTTCAATTCCTGCATGAAACCATTTGATACATGTTTTAGCAAAGAAGTCTCTTTTCTTTTGCTGCTATTCAGCCAAGAAGTTATGAGGGTTAAAAAACAAAGAGAGAATGATAGTCTGATCTTAAAAAAGGTCAATATAAAAATAAAAAAACCACCTTTAGCATCCATCTTATCGAATTTGTTGGGATTCGTCCAGAAAAGGCCAGCGTATCTCTTCTTGCTGATCAGTAGGTATGGGAAATAAACCTTCTCAAACTCCAGCTTTATGGGCTACACAAGAATATAGCATACAAAGGTTTGAGTAAAATAAAGAGGCAAGATCCTGGTGCAGGCTATGAATTGTCAAGCATCCTATTTCATATAATAAGGGCCCAAGGAATACAAGGCACACGGGGGGAGAGGAGAAGGGGATTGGGAAGGGGTTTGTAAAAGCAAAACAAATATGCAGCTCCACAGCATCAAGTTGTTCTACAACTTGGAACTACAACATATCCAGTACATTCCCAACTTCGTTGGTGACCAGGGGTCAAGAATAGAACTAGTTTGTATTAAAATATCCAAGTTGCAAGCAAATAATGGAACCAAAAGCAAGAACCAGAGCAACTAAAATTTCAAGAAAAATACTCCTAGAATCTGAAATCCATTTTCATTAATAATTCCAACTCATATCATAAAGAAACACGTACGGATATGGCATCACAGGCAATCCCTTAAAGAGTTGAGAGGGGTATCACAATTCAGTATACCCAAAGCAAGCAGCAAATCTTGCGGGAACCAATTAAAAAAATGTTCCTCCACAGCTTACTTTAATGAAAGTCCCACTTATAAAGTCTGCAGCTTCTCTGCCAAGTTTCATAGCTTCTTCCACAGTCGGAACACCAAATTGCACCATTACAGAATCTGTATCTCCATATATTACCTGAAATTTCAGGTATTGTAATTCACTAGTGATTTACTGTACACGATAAGTTGATCAGTAACAGACACTTCGAGTGAATTAGCAGAGATGTGAATATGCAAACAAATGTATAATGCCTGCTATTTAATGACACAACTTTAAGAATTCTGGTTTTGGAAAATTCAAGTAATCAAAAAAGTTGCTTTTAGGGCCAAGGGTGTAGTGTTAAGAAATAAAGTCTCCAATGGAACACCAAATAAATCCAAAACTTCTGATATGGTAACACAAGATAAAATACTACACACAGAATTCCAGCAAACTTGAAGATATGAACTGATGCAACTGAGAAAACAAAATCAAATTCTAGGCTTTGTAAAAGCAGGAAAATGCAGATTGTGGCGTTTAGTAACTGTTACTTTTATCACAACGGGATGCACAGTGCACGTTTCTCAAAACCGAAAGCACCCATAGGTGCATTATGTAAATAATGAAGACACGTATCTACAACGTTAAGGTGCGAAAATACAGACAATTTAAGGAAGACTTACTTCAGCATTGTGTTCATAGCCCTTAAGTACGGTGAACTTATCCTCCACCATCTTCTTTGTGTGTTCAATCATCTGTCGTCCTTCAACAAATGATCAGAAACCATCAGATTATATTACAACAAAATCCTCCATTATTAAATGCTAACGGCACATAAGAGGCTCACAGAATCAATTACCATAACTCGTAACACTTGATGAAATTTCTAAACATGGCAACTGACCCACTGTAGCTCCTGTAAACCCATATACTGAATTTGCACTTATCTGACATTTTCAGCAGAGAAACAATTAATACATCCGCCTAATGATAACAATTAATGCACTTGAAGTTCTTAATGCATCTATGATGGGTATTTCGGACTTCAAAAATAAAAAAATAAAAAATCTTAACTTAAAATAAAGGCATCAACTGAGAATGAATGACAATACATATAACAAAAGAGACTAAGATCCAATATATAATTACCTTCAAAGCCAGCTGACGACCATCTAAAACAGCTTTTACAAGAGGATCCTTTGCTTCCTGTAGCCAAAGACAGTAAGTGTTAAACCTAAGGTCTAATGAATCATAATTTCAATTTTCCCAAAACAAAACGAATCACTTCTGTTTCAGACCCTGAAATTGAAAATTTAGACAACCGAGCATATTTTTCATCCTAAATATATATATATATATATATATATATATTCTTGGATGTTTTTGGAATTACTAATGTTGCAGAAATTGTTCACAAATGAATATGAAACCTTAGGGCTACAACTCTTATAAAGAAATTTTTTACCCAGTTCACAATGGAAGACATTGAAAGTTGTGATTAAGTTGATTAACATTCAAAGTACTAAATAAGTACCTCCAACAGGCAGAAATCCTGACGTACATTTCAACAGTTGATAGTCAATGCTTAACCTATAGATATGTTCCAATGGGCTATTAGAAATTCCATGAAGCCAAAGGTTCTCAGTTCGAAGTTAAGTAAGGTGTAAAAAGGGATTGTAAGGTATAAGATTTCAAATGGAAGATTGAACCAAGAGTGAAATTGTAAAAGAGATGGGTAGAGAGAAAATCAGAGTTTAGGTAGTGGGAATATCATAACTCCATATGTGTAAGTGAGGCATTTGTTTGGTAAGAATTTGAAGTCCTTAGACAAGAAAATAGGCTTGTGCAAATGGCGAAGTCCATTGATGGGTAGGAAGAGGGGATCAACTTGTCTCTTAGAATCAACATCACATTAGTCTCACTTGTCTTCTGAGTTCCACCTAAAAAGAACTCGAGCTAAATCTAGTCGACTTAATAAATTTTAGGTATTTTGTCTCCTTTAGTTGCGTTCATTCTTGCTCATCAACCACACCTCACCAGTTTATTTCATCCAGCACCTATTCCATTTAAATTGCAATTTCAATTTTTGACTTGTCCAATTCAAGTCTTGGTCTTGTATTTTATCTTGAAGATCGATCAAGTTCAACTTTTTTGTTATTCAATCTGAAGACTTGCTCTCAAGTCATGACTTGTGTTGGTAGTCTACATTATTTAAAGTCTTTCACCTGTTAGTTTCAATTCTCAATTTCATCAGCAAGCTTTTGATTAGGTATTAAATTTTCAAAAGGGTCTAATAATCAGCTTTGAGGATAGAAATATTTCTACAACCCAATTCACCACCATGTGGGTTGCTACATTGGATTCTGATTCAACCTTCTCTTGCTAGCCACACTAGATTTCAGTAAAGTAATCTTTTTACCTGACCTTAGATACACTAATTTATGACAAACATACATAACAAATAAACTACTCTAGTCGTAGACAACTAATGATGATCCGACAAAATAAAATTGGCTCATTACTGAAAAAAAGAACGTAAATATAGTTCTCAACGCAAAATCCACTCTGGAGTATATAGAAGAGAATTTGAAATACTTCAAAGTGGAATAATGCTAATGATGTTTGTACTAACCAGTTCCAATGACCTTCAGAAAGACAAAAATGACCCTTCGATTAAATATAACAAGAAATACTTCAAAATGAAATAATGCTAATGTTGTTTGTGCTAGCCTTTTTCATTGACCTTCAAACATGGACAAAAATGACCCTTTGAGTATATATAACATGCAAAAACGGTCAAGATGTAGAGCATCGATAAACTAGACCCACAAAGTTGTAAGAAGTACGTTATAACTAACAGGGAAGTCAATATGCATTGAATTAATCGATAACAAACCAAGAAGCACGAGTAAGTAACTTGGAAGGCATTTATGTTTTTAGCATGTACTGGCAACTATGCTGAGATCCACAGTGATGGTATTAAATACCTTCAAGTCTGCCTTTGCCCTTTTCCGAGCTGCTAATAATTCTTCCAGGATTTCGGGAAGTATACCCTGCAGTGATTTTTAAAACATCGTGAGAAATTCAATGAACAAATCAAATTGAATAAATACCTAAAAGAAGAAAAGATCAACCTTTTGTAAATCTGATCTCACAAATGTTTCACCAGATGGAGTTTTATTGACCAATTCTGCAGGAAGATTAAGCTTACGCATATCTTCAGGAGTTACCTACAAGGAAATCAAAAGGCTAAGCAAGCCTTCATCTAAGTCAATAGAAGTTTGACAAATTTCTGCTCCAGACTTCCTAAATGTCTTACCAATGTGCAGTAACATAAATTGTAGGCCATCATGATTGAGGGATACAGAGATGCAAAATCAAGCGTAGCTATGGGCTTCTCGTAGAATCCTGCTTTGGCTTCCAGAACCTATGAAGTTAATAGTGTCAAGAAATCATATGCAAACAACAAAGTTTATCTAACCTACTGTACTTTGACTTGTAATAGTGGAAATTCAAATTGGGCAAGAACAATCATAGACAGAGGAATTCACTACAGGGATGGGGATGAAACGTAAACCTTCTAAAGCATTAAGAGAGGAAAAATTATAAAAAAAACCAAATATAGACCTCGATTACCGTAAGTACAGGAGAAGACCTAACAATGATGCGTTGAATTCTAAGTGTCAAGAATAATAACAATAATAATAAGAAGAAGAAAAGAAAAGAGAAGGTATTGATGTGCTGTGCATGCCAATTAGACATTTCTTTTTTTTGATAATAAGACATTTCCATCTTATATAAGTCACAAACATTCCATAAAAATTAAATTCATGGCTGATTTCATTTTCAAATGCAAACCATAACTTAGCAAGAAAATCATCATCAATCAGTTCAGCACACAAATTAACTGAGAACTGAAAGGCAATGATTTGAATTTATAGAGTAAAATATCACCAACAGCAACTTTAGGACAGCTTCCCAACACATTATTCTCAGAGTAATGGAATTATTCATTTCCAATTGGGACAGGCTTAATTTTTATTCAATATTCATGAATTATAAGAGTAACCAATAAAAACGTATTATCTATATGAAGAAACCCAAGAAACTATCCAGCCAATGAACCTTAAGTAGTCCAAATATCTTTTGTGCTAAAGAAATAAAATGGGTTGGCATAATTAAAAATATACATAATAAAGTGAAGGGACTTTTAAGCATAACTAATGATGATTATTCCATGTAAAGAAACCCCTTGCAATTCTTTTGTAACTGGTATATCAAGTAGGCCAAACCATAATCAAATCAAATATTTAGTTGCACACTAATTACAAATATTAGTGTTGTTCTTTTACAAAAGAACATGAGCTACTTTATTGGTTAAAGGTAACAAATTTAGCAAGCATAAAAAGGAGAGTAGCAGTACACAATATGCGATAAAATTACAAGCTCCCCGAGTTTTTTTATTTAACAGCAACATGTTTTTGAACTTTACATTTGGATACAGGCCTCCCTCATCTTATAATGTGAGTTGGAGCTTGAAAATAAGTCAATCATATATCTTCATTCCCAGGGCTACCAAGCCTTAAAAATAACTCCGCAATGCAGATGCAGTTGATTTCTATGACAACTATTGATTGCAGAAGACGATTCAAATTGTTTAACATCATTTACTAAGCACAATGCAAAAGATACTCTTCTAATTTCATCATTAACAAATAATAAAAGGAGCAAAAAATAGCAGAAGGATCCCACTGGACTTATAAAGAACTCAAGCTCTGATGGAAACAAATAAGCGAATGAGGAGACCCTAATCAAATAATAATAAGATAATAAAGTGAGCCTATCTACTTTTAATCGGTGAAAAAAATATAAAATCTTTGAGGATTAAAAAACTCATGGAGGATAGGGAGGCTATAAGCTTACAGTTGCACCCTCAAATGTTCCCTGTTCAGAACCAGCTTGTTTCACATTTGGAATAACAAGGTTTTTCTGTTTTGCCTTCCTGAGAAGTTGAGACAGTACCTGAAGAAAATTAAGGAACACTTGAATCTACTTATTGAAAGATGTGTAAGGATGATAAGGAAGTTGATGGGAGCCAACATTAACGCTTCTCAGTAGGGAGCAAGAACAAAAGGGTTGTAAAACTTGGAACATACTTTAATACTCTGTCCTCTGGACAGAAGAAATGAGAAAGGGACACCGGTCACTCGAGCCATCTCCACGTAATTATAGATGAACATTAACTTGTCCAATAGCCTCTGAGGGAGATAAGCATCCTGGAACAGAAGTTCAAGCAGTTTCCTTAAAATCGTTACTGACTACAATAAAGCAAGAAAATAACAATTTATAATGAATCTTGCAGGTAAAGTAAATATGTAGAGGCACCTTCAAACAATAGACAGCAAGACGTCTTCTAGTTTCTGAGTTACCATTCTGGAGGTCAGATATGATTGAGTGATGAACATCCTCTTTCTGCATATAAGGTAAAATGCTAATTATAGTGTAAATGAAACTGTACTCATGTTAACAAACAAAACTGGCGAGAGCGTGAGAGTTTTGAAAACAACAAAATATGAGGGAGGATAAAACTTCAAATAGATGGTAAACATATACTGGGAAATACACCAACAAGAAATCAAAAGTAAAAGTTCTTCATTGACGTCTTTACTTGACCAAGAACAGCATTGTCAAAATAAATTAAGAAAAATGCATTGTCCACGTAGAGCACACCTCTGCCAAGTAAATTAATAAAAATTGGAAAGGAAATAAGAGGACCTAATTTAGATTTCATTATCCAAAACACACAGGTCAACTACAATGGACAGTTCATAGCGCAGATGCCCAGAATTTATCAGAGGAACCCAAAATATAATCACATTCATGTATACAGAATTCTTATATAGATTCTAAGTCACATATTTTTCTTGAATACATTTTCATGCGAATTTTACATATCGCTCCATCACATCAACAGTCCACTTTCAAAATCTTAACTTGTGCTACATAAATTAGACAATATACAATTTTTTCTAATAATACAACAACAACAAGGATATACCTAGTATACTCCCAACTTCATTGGGGTTTTGGGGGGTCAAGATGTGTGCAGCCTTACCCCATATTTCAGTACAGAGAGGCTGTTTAAGTACAACCCAAGATGCATTTGATACCTTAACTAATTTAAAATATCCTTAATAATTTACTAAGAGATGTGTGGTGCGCTCTCAAAACACAAGGACAAATTTAAAATGGTAACAAATAGCTCGTGTGTGTTCTATCTTCATCCAAGAAAATAACCAACAATACTTCTAACTATCTAATATTGACCACTGAAACAATTAGCTTTCAGAATGAAGGAGCATAAATGGTAGCAGCAACAGGATATTATAAACTACAGGAACGGATTTATACCAGAACCATGGCATTCACCATCACATTCAGCTAAGAAATACTGCTTAATGAAGTGAATAGGGAGAAAAGGTGAAAGGGGAAACTCTCTTTTGATTCTTTCAACCAAATCAGTAAAGCCTAGAAAAGAAACTAAAGGTGAAAATTGTAAGATTTCCACGTTCAAGGTTGTTTGATGGCTTTTCGTTTATCCACATTTCACCCAAACTAAGATTCAAGTGTTCCGTAATAAAAAAACCAAGGTTCCAAACCACAAAGATATGGAGGAAGTACCAAAGCAAATTATGACAAACTGGTTTCTTGATTTCCAATCCAACCCTGAAACTGGCATCAAGTTAGAAGTAAAACTCGAATGGGTTATCAAACAACTGGATCTTTCCCCTTTTGTTTTATTGGTGGAACTTTTTCCTTGGTAACAAAAAAGAGTAGAGAATTCATTGGGTTATTTTACATTGACTGGAGAGAAAAGATCAATTGGAGGGAATATTTTCCAAATGATGCGAGGAGAATTGTAGAGGGAATGAAATTTGAATTGAAGTATAAGTACGAATAGTTAGGAAGCTTTGTTTTCTAGAGAAAGGCTCCTAAACCACTTTGACTGTTTCTTTCTCCACTCCCCCCTCCCACCCAAAAAAACACCGGAGCCACCCCCTCCCTACCTGACGAGATGCCAAATTAAATGTTTTAAACCACCAGTTACGTATGGCAACCAGGGCTGGCTGGCTCCCATACCCATCATTTAGCATTTTCTTCTATGTTACGAAAGATGCAAAAACACTGCAGGTAAATGAACACCAAACAGTAGTTACATGAAGGGAACTCAAGGTTTCCAGAGCCAAGTGGAGCACTCAATCAGTGTTGATATAGATGATGACAGCAAAAGAAGCATTTCAAAATCTTTAAAAAATCAAACATTAAATTCCCCACCATCACATTACAGTTTTCAAGGTGTCTGAAGTGGCACATGAACATAATCAGAACAATTAGACAAAAAAAAAAAAAAAGTACTAAGAGTCCATCGTGTCAGGGTGAAATTTATAAATATTTTAAACTATTATATAATGTAAACCACTTACTTGCTCATTAAGGAAATGAGATGAAACAGAGTTTAACGAATATGAACTCAGTTTATAATCCCTCTGCATAACCTACAGGAATAGAAGACGCTTGAAATTAGAAAATTTATACTTCTAAGTTCAATTTGTACGATTTCTTCTCAGAACACTGAGTAACAAAGCATTTAAAGGGGCATATCCAGACAGCCATTTCACGAACCTGAAGTAAGTCAAATTGAACTCTCCCTTCCACCGTAACCTCTTTACTTTCTCTGGTTCCATATTGTCTGCAAAATTACCAAGTCATGTGAGCCAAGTACTTTCTTCAGAGTAGAATGTGCAAAGATAAAAAATGCACATCATGTTCACAGCTTATCCAGCACATAAATGGTTCATTCAGCTCACTTGTAATCTTAACATATATTTTACTTGATGCGTATGATGTTTTTCAGAAAACAATTTCCAGATTATTCTCAATATCATAAATGATGCTGATGATAATTTTCTAGGTTAATCAAAACTTGGCAAGCCTATTTGGCCATCCTATTAATTGCTGCTATTGAAAAATAAATAAAAAATTGAAGACATCCATTGGTTGAAGTCTCATTCCTTGGAAGTATATTTTCAATTGGTTCATCAGGCTTGTAACAGCCAAAGTGCTATTATACAGCCTCCCTTCCTCCCTCCCTTTCTCAGAGAAGCTACATTATTTCTGCTCTGCCACTCCAACAAAAAGATGTTCTTTCATAGATCTTCGTGATCTGGTTTTAGTTAACACTCACACCCATCACTAGAATCCATCAACTGGTACAAAGAAATGAAGGGAAAGTAATTTTCCCCTTCAAAACTCTCGCATTCCCTATCACGACCAATTTAGTTCTGTAATATTACTCAATTAAACTACAGCAGGGCAAACCAATTCGGGGAAACCACAGGTAGCTTTCTTCGCAAGATTCCCGGGGGGGGGGGGGGGCGGGATAGATATTAGTTAGTTATGGTACTCTTCTTCAAGATTTTCAGGAATCACTGATAAGGAGCGTATCATGATAGTAAAAGATTAGCTGTCAGATGCTACTGTTTCCAGGGAACATGAAGAAACTCTGTTCCATCAAGGCATTTTACAAAGATTGATCTTCTACTTGCCACATTGGGTAAATAATAAAAAGGGAGAACTAGAACAAGTATTGTGCAGGTAGAGTCTGCATCAAGGGTAAACATCTAAATTACAACCCAAGTCCTTTGAGGTAAACTTAAATCTGACTGGCTCTAACAGCTTCTTTTCTTGTTTATGGGTGATTTCCTTCCCTGGGCTACTTTTTTTGGTTAAAATGTAGCTACTTTATTTCAATGCAGATGATCTCTACTGTATCTCGTGGTGATGACGATAGAGCAGACGGAGGAGGGGGGAGACCCACTAAAACAACAAATGGAGAGAGAGCGCAAAAAAGGACGGGTTTCTTTTTTATTTTTTAAAACTTAAAATACCCCTAAATTAACGTCGTTTTGGTGATTAAATCGAGCAAAAAAAAAAACATATAGATCAAGCAGGGTGCAATTAGCATTATCATGATATTTGATTCCACTTACCGCACAACAAAAATATGTTCCATGTTAATTTTATTAGTAGAAGATTCCTCTATTAAGAGTTAACAACAGATTTGGCGTTTTTGTGATTTCCATTAATGGTTGTCAATTGTTGGATAGCACAAGCTGATCTATTAAAGTTATTAAAGATCATTCTAGGAATTCAGAAAACTATTTTGATTCTCAAGTAAAGAGAACAATATTTTAGGATCTAATAGTTGTCAAACTTCCAGTTACATTCAGTTTCAACTTCAGCAACTTTATGTTGGATTCACTACCTCTTTTGACTTAATTTCGTTTTATCCAAATTTCATTCATGCATGCACCTCTAACTTAGTATTCGCAATTCAATTCACAACAAAAGGTTAATACGATAAACATCGATTACCTTGAAGAAAATGTAGTGTCTCTTACACGAACTCTGCTGTTTCTAATCCTTCCAAGTATTGGAAACTCTGGCAGTCCTAGGACTTCAGCTCTCTGCAAGCAGTTATGCATACAGTATTAAGCATTTCATTTCTCCAAAAACACAGTACGTTCCAAGAAAACATAAACATCAAAAGGAAGAAAACAAAACCAATACAAGGAATGGAGCTAACATTTCAAATACCTGAATGAGATAGGGTAGATCAAATTTGCAGATGTTATACCCGATTATAATGTCAGGGTCCACCTCACGAATGAAGTCCTGTATCATAACGACAAACTTTCCTGAATTAATATGCAATGCTTATCCAACATTCATTTTTCTATCCTGAATTAATCTATGTCTGTACAAGCAGAGAGAGAGAGAGAGAGAGAGAGAGAAGACAGCATTCCGTCGTATCATCACATCAACAGCAGTTTCACTGGCTTAGGAGATGCGCCTTTTATACATTTACAGTCCACAGAAATCACTGAGGCTTTATATTAGAAAGTTATCCATGCTGTTGAATCATATGAATGCCTTGGTTGCTTTCAAAGCTTCCTGTTCTGAATATAACCAAAAGTGTTATCTGTTCTAAGAATAGCGCCTAACCAAGAAGCTCCTGCAGTTATTTGAAATATATGTTTGATTGTGGATTACAAATAGAGAATTCTTGTCTTCCCCTAAACCCTAAAATCCGAAGTTATAGTTTCTCTCTTTTGTAATTTGTGAAGCGCTTGTGCCATCAAATTAGTCATCTAATTATGGTAACCTCAAATGCCAGCGAATAATTCCAGACAGAACCTTTAATCAGGTGCAAGGACATATTGATGACCTACAACAGGCCATTGAAGGGTTCATATAAAGCCCAAACCTTGAACCATTGGGACCCTATATCCCCATGCGCTAACATAGAGAGGGTTGTTGGGAAGAAATCTACAACCTACATCAATCTATCACATAGTCTGCAAATTCAAGAACTACATCACGGTTAAACTACAAGACCAGCTCGGTGGAGTTCAGAATTAGATGTTTTCCGCAATTTCACCATTATTCATGTAGAAGACTACTTCGATCGGGAATACCTTCAGAACAACTCCAAATGATAGAAGAGGTTGATGGAACAAAAAGTGTTGTTTTTGTGACATGAATTCAGGGACTGGCTCTCTAGTGGTGGAAGAGGTTGATGAAACAGCAAGAAAGGTTGACTTCCAAGAAGACAATAAGGTTCCTAGAAACTCCAGATGTTAACTCATTTCTCTACAGGGGATGTTCCATAGATAAACTTAGGAGTGATATTGTTCCTCAGGATGCAAACCATATATTCTGCTCTTGAAGTAGGTTATATGATTCAAATAGGAAGCTTGTAACAAGTACAAATGCATATATTTTTGCATAAGGATGGGAAGATTGTAACAAACAACACGGTGAAGGTAGCTAGAGTTTAGAAGAGCAGGGCTTGAAAGCTTCCAAATGTCACTACATTAAAAGGTTCCCACCAGGAAATGACTGATTCTCTCTAGAACCGGGGAGAATTGACACAAGGCAAATACTCTTGCAGTTCAAATAAATAATTAGCATATTTTTCATCAAGATACTTAAGCATTTCAAAAATAGTGGTGGTTATCTGTGATACTATGTTTTATTTTGGATTATAATGAGAAAACTCTGTGCTTCCCCTAAACCCTAGAATTTGGTGTTAAAATTCCGCTGTTTAATAGTCTATTTGGCTCTTCTGCTGTATTTACGGCAGAAAAGGGCCATGGCCCTGAAAAATACAAACACTTCAAAACAGAAGTCATAAATAAATAAATAAATGTCGGGCTATGACATTTATAACTAATTGGAAGCTTTCAAATTAAATGAACATTACCCTCCAAGCTAAAAGGACCTCTTTCTCAGTGTCCAATGACATCACATCAACCCCAGCTATTGGTGCACATGATTTAAGGGTCATCACGTTACGAACAAAGGGCTGATCCTCTCCCTGTAATGTTACAAGGTTGGCTACCTAGAAGCAAGAAGATTGAGTTTCAGGAAAGAGCTAAAATCATAAAAATTGTTTCTATCTCATGTCAAAAGATACAACTAAAACAAACCTGAATGACAGGATCATGGGTAGGCTCAGGAAAATGACCTTTACGACCTGCACACTCAATGTCAAAACTTAAAATCCGAAATGGAGCCATCTTTGAAAATTCTCCTTCAGGGGCATGGCTGACCAAGTCTGAGTAGCTATAAAGTCAATTAAGGAAAATGTAACTCTAGCAAAAGCAAAGATTACACGTAAAAAAATCTCCTTGAAGATAATTTGAAACCAACTTCCAATGTGTAAGGATACAGACAATCAAACTCTAGTTGGCAGTGGGACAGATTTCTTGATGTCGTTTTATATTTTCCAACCGGGATTTCAATCCAGTTGCCTCCAACAATATCACAATCAATCATAAACCGGAGAGCAAATAAAACGTTACTCTCATACGTCATAAAGCTTTTAACACCGAGCCCATCAATTTGTATGCCTCTGTCCAAGATGCCTGATAAAAGCTATATGTTACATAGATGAACTAACATAAGAACAAGGTTCAATAGAAGCATCAAGATTCAACATTGTCCATTTTCAACTACGATATTGCTGCATCTAGGCAAGATTTAACTCTGATACATCTCTGAATTTGATTTAGATATAGCAGGCGAAGAAATATATGTTTGTTCGACCATCCTAGTTGAGTAATTGAAATTTCCGCAAGGTATTTGACAATTACAGTTGTGAAGCTATAGAGCACATAAAGAAAAATTTTAAACAAAAAAAAAAACCCAGTTCTACCAATCAAAGACAACGGCCAAAGAAAGAGATACAAAAAACATAAATGACAGCTGCTGTAAGAAAACCAATGAAAAGCACAAGTTCCAAGCACATGTCTCATACTATAGTTTTTGTGTGCCGTCTACTGACAGCACGATGGCAAGCTCTTTCCATGTACATAATAAGGACTTGCACATCCTGTCATTGTATGTATACGCCTTTTTGACAGTTACATCATTTTATTTTGTGCAACAATGTTAGTTTATTAGAGCTTAACCAAAAACTAAGTTAGCAACAACTTAGATATAAAGGCACAGAAAAATAATTGCATGTCAAACAGTGAGAAAACCCTCACCACGACAGCTGGCAACCATTGTTGGCAATGCCACTACAATTTTAAGGAAAGGCTGAGAACTCTGCTGCTGGTAATACATAATGCTTTTTTTCTGAACCAATTCTATCCTTTTAACAAATTTTGGAACTTTACTGTTCCTCGTTGAGTCCCTCATCCTACCCTGTAAGAGTAAGCAAGAACAAAATGCACTATTAGTAAAAAAACAATTTCCTCTTTTTTCCGTGTGTGCGTGTGTTTGAGGCCACTGGTAGCTTAAAAAGACAGAATAACTAGCAATATAAACAGGTATACTCGAGTACATACTATAGATTGAGATAGCACAAAAAATATGACGAACAATAACAATGCAGACTTTATCCTCAGTAAAAGTACCTCGAGAGTTTGATGGAAACGGGAAATGTCATCTGGGCCCATTCCCAGAGGGCAACAAACGTAGAAATAAGGTTCGAAACCATGTACATGACAACAAACACTGTGTCCTGCAGACATCCAATAAAACAATATCTAAACATCAGCATATTTCCTATCAAGGAAAACTAGGAATAATGGGACTTTTTGCCAACCTCTTTTCAAACATTCCAGTTTTACTAAAATGTGAAACCTTATGTCCTCCTTCGGAAAGAAGTTTATCATTACCAACGAAAGTTAAAAGTATACGAGTATTTTCTAACACAAAGAAGCTTTTCCTTTCATCACTTGAAGTCCATCATTAGTCAAGAAAAAACAAAAGTAAAAGAAAACAAAAAAAAAATGAAGAAACTTTCAAACTATAACAAAATCGATGATTTAGTTCAAGTGTATCCTTTCACAATTAGCCTATTGATCTCTTTTTAAAGTTGCCAAAACAATCGGATCGGATTATAACCCTAAACTTTCAGCTAGTTCAATTCATTACATCCCCATGAACAATGATGACAAGTAGGACCACAAAGAAATGTACACGCATTACATAACTTTCCCATACCACATCATGTCTCATAAATAGAGAAACAAAAGCCAATCACCAAGATTTAGCTCAACTAGTGAATAGCCTGCTGAACCCATCGAATAGAAAAGAATCCAAATGATCCAAATAATTAGACCCCACAGAAATCCAGTATGGAACTATTTAGTTTAGGAAGTTGAGGATACTAAACTTTCGTAGTTCATCTATGAGCTGAGAAGTTTAATTACCTTCAAAGATATTCTTAAAAACACAAAAAAAAAAAAAAAAAATTGGTCTAAACTCTCGGGAGTATTGCTAGAAAGAAGTAAAATAACAAGCCAAAAAGAACAGGCACAAACGAAAACAAATGGAGAACCTTCTCTCGTGACGCCAAAAATCCTCAGAATGGCAGCAGGACCAGAGGAATTGGGCAGTAATTCCTTGTGAGTGTCTCCAATAATATAGTCTATCTCCAGCTGTTGAAATACTGCCAAAGGGAGGTAAAACAGGAAAACAATTGAGGTACTAAATCAAATGAAGGTTCAATTTTGAAAACCCTAAACTTCAATCAAGCAATTACTAAAGCAGCATCCGGGAAAATTCAAAATAAGCGTCGGCCAAAACGCAATTGGGTAAATACCGATGCTTTGGGACTCTGAGAGGTAGACTTGAGAGAGAGGAGGACGCTTCCACTTCTGCAACCGCGAAGCGACAGCTTGGCGCTCCTCCGCTTCACGGAAGGCCTCTTCTTCGTATTGGAGCATTGTTTCTTCGAGGAATATGTCCTCGTCCATGTCTTCGCTTTCCATTGCCGCATGATGTTTCTGTGGCTGGGGCTTTGGCGTCGGAGGCGGCGGCCTTTTTTTGGAGTTGCCGGAGTTCATTTCGCCGGGTTTTGTACGGGGGCTGGGCAACTGAATACACCGAGACTGGAAAAACTCGTGTTCCCGCCAAATTTTGGTAGTAGGGGTTTTATAGAGTATTTCCCACACGAGGGATTCGATCATCCGACGTTCATGGAGTTTTCTATAAACCTCGCGGAGTAAGGAAAAATCACGTTTTGCGTCCTTAAATTTTAGCCATATTCTAATTTGATCCTTTTATATTTCTTTTTTTTTTTTGGTTGCAATAGGAAATATATAAAAAGAGCTATGAAATTGCAAAGTTTCAGGGATATGCAATCTCAACAATAGCGTTTGCTAAAAGGATCTAATCCCTACCTATAGGTGTAACAGTGTATCCAATCCAACAAGGTCGCCAGAACTAGTCATAGATAGAGAAACCAAAAAATACATAAATAAATGGTTTGAAAATAATAAAAATTAAATATTGAAATAATTTTTAAAAAGTAAATTAAAATGTTGTATGGAAAGCATTAAATTTTATCTTGGTATTTATGTTTAAGAGGGAAACTAAACTTTTTTTTTTGTCTGCACGAAGTTGGTCATACAGTCACTCAATCATTTGTTACATAAAATGTAATTCAAAAAAACTAAGTTGCGATATCTTTGTCTCAATGCAAAAGACACAAGCTCAGATACTGTTGGCTTTGAATCTTGGTTGTAGCTCCAACCTCTTAACTACAACCAGAAAATTCCAAGCAAGGTAAAATGTTGAAACTTTTGCATTGAAAGCCGGTGCTCATATCTTATTCTCCCCTATATTTTGAAAATCGGACTAGCAGGCCAATTGGTGAGGTTACTGGTTCGAACCGGTTCAACCGCTCGTCATAAATTCGTAATAAATCATTTTAAATTATAACAAAAAATTATAAATATGTTAGTTGTAACTTATATAATATTTAGTGCTATTTTCAAAAGTAAAAAGATTGAACATAAATAAATGCATTATCATCCAAACTTCAAAAGCATAATACAACCAAATGCACAACCAATTGTAGTATATTACTAGACAGCTACACACATTCAATGCTTTGAACTTTGAAATATAACTTCCACACGTCTTAAAAATAAAATACCACTGAGTGAGTTTGGTTCTCACAACAGTCATATCATCCTTACATGAAATACCTACTTAATTACAACATACACTATTATATAAACGTAGTGCCAAATCAGTACTGGTTCCAAAAGGACCAAAACCATCACTTCACCTATTTATCAAAGCCTTCTAAGAGACTAGAACATCAAGCATCCTAAATTATCTAAGTCTACTTATCACATACATATCCAAAAGGGCCGAAAGAATTCTTAATGCTATGCATTTATATCCAAAAGGAATAACACCTAATTTACTTATATGCAAAAGAATTGCATCTAATCGGCCTATCATATACAAAAGAACAAACGAATTAAAGTTTAATTTTTAACATGATTTAGTCAAAAATCTCCACATCATCATCTCTAACTTGCAAGGAAGACAAATCAGTTTGAGAATCATCTTTATCAACTCCAACAATAACCACGGATCTTTTTTTTCCTAATTATAACACAAACATGAATTGTACATACCTATTGATAAAGTTTTAAAAAAAAAAACTATCTCAACATAATGAAATATTTCAATAGATATCAGATTCTCATTAGTTGGAAGGATCCTTTTCCCTCACAACCAATAGGATTCCCATCTTCCATCACGTCCTCCAACCCTTACATTTCGAACTCCCGTTCAGGTTGATCCTTAACAACCCAAAATTTAGTTCTATCAATGGACTCATAATCAACGAGATTATAAGATCTCTTTCTATACTCAAGTTCGAACAAAACTTAGAGTTTTTAGTAGTCAAATAAGGAGAAAAGTTAACAAAAAACCAAAGGAAAAAGAAGATTGACTACCTATTTTTCAAACGAAGGTTGTACTGAACATATATAAGGTTACACAACCTTTTATGCTCCAATCTGTTCCTTTTCTTTGTATGGGTGCGATCAAGCACGCTCCAATTTCGTTCACATCCCAAAGAAGATGCGGTTTGAATCAAAAGTCTAATAGCCATCTTTTGCATGTTAGAGTGTCAACACCAAATATTTTCCACCATGGATATATGCCATTATCATTACAAAATTGAAAATACATTAGAGAGTAAATATGATATAAGATAAAACCACACTTCCATTAAGAAAAAATATAGTTTAAAATTTACCTGGACGAGAAGGATTATATGTTTTTTTTTTTTTTGAGTAAAATCAGTCCCAAATAATTTACTCAGGTAAAGACTGAAATTTCATCCATCAAAACTGAATTTTCTTCAATCTTAAACTTCTCCAAGACTCCAAACAAGCTTCTCCAAATTTATGAGAAATTACACCGAGTATTATTCTCATACTGGAATATTAGATTTAGCAAAAAACTTGTTGGGTGAAGATCTTTATTTAATATTGCACCCCACATATCCTCAATTATATCAATGTAAGGTTTATATAACTTCTTATTGTTATTAAACATTGTTTTGATGCCATTTACTATTCTCCACATACCATCATAAAAATATCCCAACAAAAATTTTTCATCAGAATCACATATGCTCAACAAACGCATCACAGGTCCCATGATCTTCACATTAATCAAATAAGGTTTCTTAAAATCATTACTGAGAACAATTTCCTTCACATCTGTGGCTTTCAATTTTTTTTCTTTCTTGAATCTTGGATGAATTACTAAAACCTCCCAATGTTTCTGTGATTATAAAGATTTTTTAGTGCTATAAATATCGTTCCAAATCTAGTTTCAGCAGGATGAATAATCCCTTTTCAATTATCCAACTAAGTATCCACTTCCAATTATACACATGCTTGGTGACCCTAGAAGCAAGAATAATTGTGTTACTAATATTTGGCAGCTCTTCAATATCCTTGAGGATTAAATTGAGACAATGTGCTGCATAGGGAGACCAACTATCAAAGGATACTTATCCTAAAGCAATTTTTCAGTAGCCTTATAGTTACTAGCATTGTCCGTAACTAAATGAACAACATTATCAACCCTAACCAACAAACAAGTTACACGATGTCTCTAAATTTGACTCCACATTTAGAGCACCCACAAATAAAATAAATACAAAATCCGTAGGACAATAGACAAGAAAATTAATCAAACATTTTTGTGTTTTATCTTTCCATCCATCACTCACGAGTGTACATCCAGTTATTGCCCATTAACTGCTGAACCATCAACAAATAATTGAACTTCTAATTTTTAGCATCTTTTAACAAAGGCACACTAAGTGTATGATCACTAGGACATGTAATCATGACCCGTTCTTACTATATTTGCTATTACTTGTTGAAAATAAGGTGAATTAAATGCATTGAAAGGAATACATGCTTCGTAAAACCACACAACTACAACCATATCAGTTTGCAGAAATTTTTCCTACTTTGCATACAAGACTTGATACTTGGTTGAGATAAATCAATAGTTTTACACATCTAGGGTTCAATACTATAATTGCTCCTCCTTTTTGGAGGAGTGATTTCTTGAACATCACTGCACTGCTCGTCAAAGTTTATCCCAAAATATCCCTTTTTTTTTCCTCTCTCTTTTTGGGTATATTTTTTCAAAGAATCACACATATGTTGCCGCACTGCAGAAGGAACTCTTTTGCAAGAAGCAACATTGCCTTTAACTCCTGCAAGGTGCTCTTTCATTCTATGTATCTCCCCACCACCTATTTGACTTCAACAAAAATCACAAATGATAAGTTTCCCCCCCTCACCATTCACACTTTCAGTTGCATATTTCCATGCAAAGTCTTGTTTTCTTCGCAAACCTTGTGGCGATGTGATTGAGTTTTTCTTACTAAGTAAGGATTGTGAATCAACTCCTTCCATTGACTGTAAAGAAAAGGAAAAGTCAATCTTAAAGTATTATAATCAAGCATAGAAAAATTTTAGTAGGAGATAAAGGTAGAGCAGATTAGGAACATGAAGTAAAAGGATTAGAAATATAACACTTGTAAGATTACAATTAACTGAGAATCAATCTCAAGCAATATTGATGTAGCGCAAGCCTCCAATTCTAAAAAGAATCCTAACATGAACCGTAACAGTCGTAAATTCGTTTAGTCTGAGAAGGCCCAGAAATACAACCTTCCTAAGATTCTTTTAGTCTAAGAATACTGGAATCCTAAAACATCTAACAATCTGTTGATTCAATAAAGAATACCAGAAAGTATGCAAAAGAGAAATCAATATCAATTTTTATAAAATCATCAAAAACCAACTTACAAGGAATGGTGTTCAAAACCTTAAATAGAAAAAAAGGACATTCGCAAAATAAACCCTACTCAACTCTTAAATGACTAAAACATCCTTATTAAATCTCTAATTCAAGGTCTTCGTTGTTGATCTTTGGCCCTTAAGATTTCGGGTATACTTAGGCTAAATGATTTCTTAAATATATTATTTCCGTGTATTCATGCATCGAATCAACGGATCTCAACGGTCACGGTTACTAGGATTACTTTCGGATTGAATTGGAGGCTTCTGCTGCATCAAGTATAGACCTTATAACCCTAGAAAAACAACCTTGAATGCTCAATATTAAAGATAATACAAAGGCAACAATATAAAAGAATTGGTTAATCAAATAATGACTAACATCAGTGATCCATAATCTACTTTATGTGACATATATCATAGTTGATGAAATTCCATACACAAAAGTATTAACACTACACAAAAAGCAGAGCCTTAACATGAAAGGAAAAAAACAAACAAATGATCTAACTTTTGTATTTAAATTTCAACCAAAAGTCCTATCGACTTTACAAGGACAATAAAATTATGAGAAGTAGGTTATGGAAATTTGATATATAATTTTTTCGTTGTAAGTAAATATTCATCTAAAGTGAATAAATAAGGAGACATAAATGTTCCCTAAGAACTAATAGACAAATAAACTAAAACCTAATTTAAAAATTGATTTC